AAGCCCCTTCTGAGGTGGTGAGAGCGCGTCTCAGGGACGAGCGGGGAGGAGAGCCCAGGTGCCAGGAGAGGGCTGTGGCTTCAGCTCGGATCGCCCTTTCCCTCTGCCCTCGCGCACCTCCACCCACCCAGCCCTCATCCATTGCTGTGGCACCAGAGCAATCCTGGCTTTGAACCCAACTTCTGCCACAGTCCAGCTCTGCGGCCTGAGCCAGTCCTGAGCCTTAGTCTCCTCCGCTGCAAAACAGATGCTAGTAACCGTCCGCACTTCGCAGGGGTGCTGGGGTCCCTCCTACGCGCGTCAGTTCCCCTCCAGCAGCTGCCTGGTCCTCCGTTCTGAGCACCCGCCCTGATGGAGGGGCAGGGCGAGCCAGGGCTGGTGGCGGGCCCCACTCAGGGAGGCTTTTCCCACGGAGCGGCGGCTCCTGCCCGGGGAGCCTCAGAGCCCAGCCTGCCCCACCTCGCCGCACCCCGGCCGGGGCCCACTCAGCTCTCTGACGGGGTGGGGATGGCGGCCGACGTCCACATGCCGGGACTCAGACCCCTCTCCCGCTCCCCGGCTGGCCGTCCCGGCAGTGACTGGCCGCCCGCGCTGGGGCACGAGTTCCCAGCTCCCGGGACCGCTGCGAGCACGCAGAGTCCACGCGTGTGGTGTCAGCACGCTAGCTGCCATCATGAGCGTGAATAGCTGTTTTCCTTACTACTATTACCTCTCCCATGAACCCTGTCCCGTCCGGCCAGAGGGAACCTGGAGTTTCCCGGCAGGAGCTGGCCTCAGTGGGCCTTGAAGGAACAGAAACGCTCCCCGAGGCAGGAGAAGGCGCGGCTTGGGCGAAGGCGCGCAGGGCAGGCTCGGGGAGCAGGGGCGAGGGGCGCAGGGCTGCCGGGCAGGGGTGGGCGAGGTGAGTCAGGGCCTGGCCTGGCCGGACAGTGCTGCTTCCCATCCCGGGGCGGGCGGCGCGGCTCCTGGCCGGGTGCGGCTGAGTCGGCCCAGCCGGGTGGGCAGAGGGGTGTGGGCTCCCACCCACACCGGTGCCCGCGGGAGCAGGCAGGGCCGCTGCGCCAGGTAGCGCCCGGGCACCGCCTGCCCGTGGCTCACTCCGGGTCCCAAATCCAGAGGGGTCTGGGAGCATCTCCTGCGCCCGAGTCACGGCGCTGGGCCCAGGACCCCGGCCGAGGGCTTTGCCGAGGGGAAGGAAAGGGCTCTGGAGACCAGCGGAGCCTGGGAAGCCAGGGAGCGCGTCCCTGAACCGGGGACCCTTGAACAGAGGCCTGCGGAGGTGAGGAAGTGAGCGGGGCCGGGCCGTTCTGGGCCGTGGGTGGTCCAGGCAAAGAGACAGCAAGTGCAAAGGCCCTGAGGCAGAGGCCCGGGTGTTGGAGCAGCGGCAAAGGCACTGTCACACGGGCAAGGGGGAGAGTGGGGAGATCCTACAGGGCCCCGTGGGCCACGGAGAGAACTTTGGCTTTTTCTCTGAGCAGAGTGGGTGCCATGGGAAGGTCTGGGCAGAGGAGAGGCGGGACCCAGTGGAGGTTCTCACAGGAGCCCTCTGGCTGCGTGCGGTGGATGGGCTGGGGGTGGGGACACGGGGCAGAAGCCAGGAGACCAGGGAGGAGGTGGGCGCCAGGGCCCAGGTGAGCCACGCGGGCGCTGCGCCGGGGTGGGGGCGTGGAGCTGAGAGAAGAGTGGGATTCTGGGAGCTCCTCTGGGCGTCTGTCGACACGCCCTTCCTGGGGGCTGCTGCGTGGGCGCTGTGCGCAGGAACACGACCAGCATCCCCAAGGCTGAGCCCTTGCTGACCGCCCAGGAAACAGGAGGAAAAGAAAGGCAATCATGGTGGGATCGAGCTAGGCCAGAAGCGCGAATCCAGGGCCCCCGCTTGCCACCAGGCGCTGTCCCAACCCCCTATGCAGGAATCCACCTTGCCAGATAAGGGCGGCCGTGAGCCCCATTTTACAGGTGAGGACACTGAGGCCTCTTAGGGAGGTTACGTCCAAGTTAAGAGACTCCTCCCCCATCAGCAGGTGGCAGGGCTGGGACCCCACCTGCCCGCCCGCCCATGTAATCAGGGAGGGCTTCCTGCAGAGGCGAGGCTTGAGCCGAGCTCCCAGGGACGCGCAGGGCTCCGCCCGCGAGCAGAGGTCACGCGGGGCCGGGCAAGGAACAAGCCAGCGCCTGGTGGCGAGACTCGGCCTCTTAGCCAGTGTCTCCCCAGCCTCACTTGAAAGTCGTCTCTAAAGCCATTCATGCTTTTTCTTAAGTAGGTTGATTTTTTTCTTCTTTGGTTGGTTGGTTTTTTAAAGATAATTTACCAAGGTGAACTACTGGGCATCTACCCAAAAGATCAAATGTCACTTTATGAAAAAGACACCTGCACTCGAATGTTCATAACAGCACAATTCGCAGTTGCAAAGCTGCGGAAGATCGCCCATTCAATTCATGAGTGGGTTAATAAAATGTGGTGTATGCTATACCATGGGAGTACATCTCAGCTTTGAGAAAAACAAGCGTGATCTAGCACCTCTTGTATATTCCTGGATAGAGCTGGAACCCATTCTACTAAGTGAAGTATCTCAAGGATGGAAAAACCAGCACCACATGTACTCACCAGCAAATTGGTATTAACGGATCAACACCTAAGTGGACATGTAGAGAACATTTATCAGGTGTCACGAGGGTGGGAGGGGGAGGAGGGGATGGGTATATATAACCACAACGAGTAAGATGTGCAACGTTTGGGGCATGAACGCGCTTGGGGCTCTTACTTGAGGGGAGAGGGGGGCATGGGCAATATATGTAACCTTAACACTTGTACCCCTATAATACGCTAAAATAAAAAAATTTACCAAGGTGAAATTCACATAACATCCCATTAGCCATTTTAAAGTAAACAATTCAGCGTCACTTTAATATAATTAGTTGCAAGACATTTTCATCACCCCCCAAAGGAGACCCTGTCCCCATTAAGCAGTCGCACCCCATCCCCCATCCCCTGGCAACCTCCTGCCTTCATTCTGTCTCCACGGCTCTCTCTATCCCGGCTATTTCCTAGAAACGGAACCAGCCGCTGTGTGACTCTGGGCCTGTGATGCCTGGGCAAACAAGTCGTCCCTCTTCATTCTTCTTTATTAGCATTGCCTTGGCTATTTTTTTTTTTTTTTTTTTTTTTTTTTTTGAGACAGAGTCTCACTCCGTCACCCTGGCTAGAGTGCCGTGGCATCAGCCTAGCTCACAGCAACCTCCAACTCCTGGGCTCAAGCGATCCTCCTGCCTCAGGCTCCCGAGTAGTTGGGACTACAGGCATGCGCCACCATGCCCGGCTAATTTTTTCTATATGTTTTTCAGGTATCCAATTAATTTCTTTCTATTTATATAGAGACGGGTCTCCTTTTGCTCAGGCTGGTCTCGAACTCCTGACCTCGAGCAATCCGCCTGCCTCGGCCTCCCAGAGAGCTAGGATTACAGGCGTGAGCCACCGCGCCCGCCTGCCTTGGCTATTTTCACGCATTTTCTCTTCAATGTCCGTCACTTGAGAGCATCCCTTTCTAACACACAGGCCAGAGACGTTAAGGGGCAAAGCCCAGGTCACGCAGGGCTCTGCCTGCAGCCTGACGGCCGTTTCCGGACCCCCAGGAGTCAGGGGCGGTGTCAGGGTGGGCACGAGCCTGGCATCGGGGAGCAGAGGGAAGGGGGTCTCACCGCCACCCCTAGCACTGTCCTGCCGAGTCACAAAGGAGACCTGTGTGCCTATGAAAATAGCAGCGTTCGCCACATCCACACGGCATCTGTCATGTACTCCTTTTCTTTAAATCGACTCACTTTTTACATGTTTACTGAAACTCAGTTCTCTCTTCATCCCTGCTTTAACTGAGAGGCGGTGTTGACCGTGAGGTGCTCGCAGGTTGGTGCCACCCACCCTGCCCCCTTTCCCGTAGGGGACACAGACCCAGCTCCAGCTGCAGCACCTGCCCCTCTTCGCCTGTGGGCTCCGCCTCCTGGGCAGGCTAGATGCTGGAAACTGACTCTCCAGGACCAGCGCTCAGCCGATGCCAGCAGGGGCTGATGCGTGTGCTCCTCAGCCCCCTCTGATCCCACCCGATCCCACCCCTGGTTGGACTAACTCAGAGGTGCGTGTCTACACTGGCTCCCAGAGCGCCCAGGCGGGACGAGCCCAGCTGCCCGCAGTGGCGACTTGCACGACAGCACTCTCCGGACCGGCCGCCCTCCCTGCCTGGCCTCACGCCCCCACCAGTGGAGGCGTCTGCTCTGTGAGCCACTTGCCTCCAGATTATTCTCTTCGGGATCTGCTTCTAGGGAAACCCGATCTAAGGCGCTTGCTGCAAACTGAAGATCATCAGCAGAATATGAAAGGAGTGAAACAAAACCGGGTACCATTGCTGCTCACGGCCCCACCTGGGATCTGCGTAGCTTCTTCCAAAGAGCGAGCAGGTGGTAGGAGAGTGTTCGAGACCACAAACCCCACGTGAAGCCTCTCCCTCCCCTTGGCATAACCGGGAGGTCAGAAAGGAGCTGGTGACGTCTCAGGCTGGGTCCCTGCCCCTCAAGCCACTCCCAGCCCCATCCGTGGCCCCAGGCTCACGAGGTCCTGGGAACGACTTCCCGCAGGCCACCTCCAAGGACAACGGAAAGTCCCTCTGGCTGGGCTTCTGGCAAGACGCAGGCCTGGCTGGGTCCAGTGGGCAGCACGCAGCACCTGCACAGGTGTGGGGTGGGGGGTGGGGGGGAGGGAGCAAGACATACGTTCCCGCCCTGGAAGAGCCCACAGGGCAAGCAGCCTGCCATGTGGCCATGTGGACGGAAGGACTCAACTTTGCCCTGAGCACGTGAGCTCGTGCATGCATTCATTCCTTCATTCATTCATTCAACAAATGTTTGTTGAGCGCCTACTATGTGCTGGGCACTGTGCCAGGCACTGGGAGGACAGAGGACAGACTGAAACCCCTCATGGAGCTGACACTCCAGTAGGGGACACAGAATCCAGTTAATACACAAACTCCAGAATGAGGGTATTCTGTGCAATAAAGAAAATAAACAGAATGATGAGATAAAAAGAAATAGATGTGGGCAGAGGGCTTGGATAGCTTGGCGTGGAGGGCTCTGAGGAGGGTCATTTCAGCTCAGGACTGAACGCCCACAAGGGAAGGGCCTGCGCAGAGCTCCAGGGGTGGGAATGAGCCCGGTGTTTGGAGGCGCCAAAGCCGACTGGCTGGAGGGGCGGAACAGGGGAAGCGGTGGGAGGTCACGGCAAAGTGGTCCTGGGGCAGGTCAGAGCGGAGGGATGCCAGGCAGGTGTTTCACGTGAACAACAACCTGCCCAGGGAAGGCACCCATGGGTGCTGGGTGGGAAGCAAAGAGGAGGACTGAAGGCCTTGGGTTTGGGAGGCTCTTTCTCCCGGTGTCTTTGTGGGAGGGGCAGCCAAGGGGAGAGACCCTGGCTTGATGGACCAGCCCGCTGCAGCAGGGGGGGACCTCGGGCCACTGCACCAGGGCTGACCTGGCTGATTTCAGCCAAGCGAATCAGCAAACCCATCTTCAACATCTCATAACAGTTTCTACTCCGTGAGATGCTATTTATTGAGGATCTCTGCACCAGGCTCTCAGCAACCCTACCAGAAGCTGCCAGACATGTCCCTGCCCAGAAAGATATTCACAGAAACAGAAAGTTGCAATCTAGTGTCACCTGAATTGGCTTTTGAAGGATGAAGAGGAGCTCACTGGAAAGAAACCATCACTAAAACAGCAGAAACTGTCTCGGTCGTTGCTGCGTCCCTGGCATCTAGCACAGAGCCTGGCCCACAGTGGGTACGCAGTCAATATTGGTGGATGAACAAATCGGAGTTGCCCACACTCTGTCTAGTCAAGTGACTGCCTTCACCATTTTTGTGCTGTTAGTTTTCCACTTCTACTATTACTTATTTAATGTTTTTCTTCAAATTGACTTACTTTCTAACTTAAATAGATTTATTCTGAAAAGGAAACATTTAGTGTTATCACTAGAATTGAAAAACCCAAGAGCACATGCCACAAGTCAAAGATAACCAAAAAGTAATTACAATGACAACAAAACAATGTCATTAAAGTGTACCGGTTGAGAGAATAAAATGACAAGCCACAGACTGGGAGAAAATATTTGTAAATCACATATTCGACAAAGGGCTGACGATAACCCGGAATATATAAAGAATTCTCCAAACCCATGTATAAGAAAGCAATTGGATTTTTTTTTAATGGACATAAAGTTTGAGCAGACACTACACCAAAGAAAATGCACAGACGGCAAACAAGCAAGTAAAAGGAAGCGCGGCATCGTTCGTCACTGGGCAACACACATGAAAGCCACAATGAGATGCCATTGTGCAACTACTTGATGGGAAAATGATACAGGCACTTGCAGAGCAGTTCGGCGGCTTCTGATAAAGTGAAACACACACCCAGCCACGTGACCCAGCGAGTCCACTCCTAGAGATTTACCCAACATAAACAAGGATTGACGCTCGTGCAAAAACCTGTTTGCAAGTGTTTCTGGTGGCTTTGTTCGAAATCGGTAAAAACTGGGAACAACCCAAATATCCCCCACCCTGTGAATGGTGCGTGCGCACAATGGAACACTACTCTGCAGTAGAAAAGAGCAACCCACCGATACCCTCGACCGCTGGAGTGTTCTCAAAACAGCGTGCTGAGCGGGAAAACAGAGCCAGACTCGAAAGGCAACACGTGGTAGGGTCCCGCTTACGCCGCACGCTGGAAAAGGCAAATTTACAGGAAGGGTGCAGAGAGGGCGCTGTGGGGGTGAGGACGTTCTGTCTGTCACTGGGGCGCCCATGACACAGCTATGAAAGGTCATGAGGCTGAGCGCCTCGTTCGTGTGGGTTGCAGCAGCTCAGTGCCACAGGTCACCGAGTCTAGCTGGACACACTGCGTGCCCAAGGCGCGGGCCCGAGGCCTGCTTCCTTTTTCACAAAGGGGCATTATTGAGTATTCGGTCTTAGAGACGAGTTGGCACCAAACAGAGACTCTCCCCGGTGCAAAGGGAGAACAGGAAAAGATTTGCAGAGGGGAGAACTCTGGCTACGCGACCCCAGGTGACTTTCTGCTGCGTCCCTGCCCCCGTGGTGCACGTGACCAAATTCGCAGGCGCTGGCGTGTGAGACAGGCCGGCAGCGCTGCGCCGGGGAAGGGTGCAGAGGAGTGAAGTCTGGGCTCCCAAACCAGGGGAGCCCTGCTTGGCTGGAGCGGGTTGGGAGTAGCCGGATTTCCCCGTGCCCCCGTGTCTGTGCCCCTCGGCCAGCCTCCACTGACAGCCACCTCTGCAAGCCGTCACACGGGTCCTCCCCGCTGCTGGAGATGCTCCTTTCTCCCTCCTGACCGACCTCGGGTTGGGGGTCCTCCTCCTCCTCCTCCTTACATCAATGCCCCCATGGCACTCGCTTTGGGGTCTCTATGCATGCTATTTTCTCTGCCTGCAATCTCTTCTCTTCTCTTCCCCCCATCACGGGTCCGTCAACACCTTCTGCACAGAGGTGTTGCACAGAAAGCCAGTCCAAACTGTGTTCAGCCAAACATGGGAAATGTAGTGGGGTCATGGAACTAGAATGTCAAGGGCGCCTAACTCCAGGTATGGCTGGACCCAGGAGTTCGAAGGCTGCCCAGCTCCGTGCAGATCTTTCTCGGGCTCTTCCCTGGCTTTGCCCTCTTTCACTCTGCGCTCTCACTCGCTCACTCGCAATGCAAAGGGGAGAATTCCCCGCACTAAAGTCCCAGGGTCGAGTGTCATTGGGCAGGCTTAGTCACATGCCCGTTCCTGGACCAATCACTGGAACAAGATCCGGTCACGTGTCCACCCCTGGAGCCAGGGGTCCCGGGCATCCCGACCTCACAGCCTGAGATGAGGGAAGAGGAGGTTCTTCAGTGGGAAACTGAGCCGCTATTACCTGGAAATGGGAGACAAACACCGACCTGCCCGCGAATCCCACCGCTCCCCTGGCAAACTCCACCTCATCCCAGCACGTTAGGTGACCCCAGGCCAACCCCTTCCCCTCTCTGGTCCTCATGTTCCTCCTCCGGAAAATGGGCAGGAGGCCGTTTGAATTCCAACATTCCAGAATTCTGGGACGGCTTCCAGAGCTGGAGGCTGCTCCCTCAATCCCAGGAACGTTCTGGTACTTCTGGGGACGGAAGTGGAGCGTCAGCCAGAGCCCTCCCCAGCCCCCCGCCTGGGAACGTGCTTAGGAGATGACAATTGGGCTCCTTTCGGCCGAAATTCCACTCCCGTGGGGGCCCTGCCAAGGAAAACAAGCCCGAGAACCGGGCACTAAAGGTGAGCATACCTGAGCGCTTTAAGATGACAAGTTATTTACACAGGTGTGGGAGCCGTCCCCTCGCACCCCGCTCTCTTTTCTTGTTCTTCCTCCCGTTCCAAATTCTTTCCCCCAAGGGTGCTGGCAGGCATGCCAGGGAAGGGGTGGCTGGTTGTGGAGATCTGCCCGCAGCGAGCCCACAACCCAAGGTGACGGGGAAGGGACGGGCGGCAGGAGAGAGGGTGTCTGCCCGGGGGCTGGTCCCCCCAGCTGCCCCTTGCCCGGGGAGGAAGTGAGGCTGGGACCCTGGGGACTCAAAGCTACCCAAGTCCTTCAAGAAACTCGGTCCACCCTTTGTCTGCAAAGGGGAATGGGAGACCAGGGAGGTGAAAAGCAGTTCCAGGGTCACACGGCCGGTTAGTAGCTGAACTCGGAGCTAGAAAGGAAAGAGACGGAGAAAGCAGTCATTTCTTAAGCTACTGTTCGCCCGGCACTGTGCCGAGCTCTGGGAACGCACCGTGAATGAAACAGACAGAATTCCCTGCCCTGGGGCCCTGAAAGGGACTCCAGCAAGATACCAGTAAGATACCTCCAGAAGTGCTCAAGAAGAACAAAACAGGTGATGGGGTGGCAGAGATGCTCTCTAGGTAGAGGAGGTGACATCTGAGCCCAGAAAGGTGAGAAGGAGCCAGCCCCGGGGAGATCGGAGGGAAGGGCATTCCAGGCAGATGGCACTGCAGGTGCAAAGGCCCTGTGGTGGGAAGAGGCTTGGCGTGTTCAAGGAACAGTGAGGAGGCCAGTGTAGCTGGAGTGAGGACAGGGAAACGAGGTGGATCAGAGGTAGACTCAGGACAAACCCACAAGGTGGGTATGATCATTCCCACATTGCTGAGAAAGAAACCGAGGCCCAGAGCAGGGCAGTGACTTCCCCAGAGTCACACAGCAGAGCCAGATCCCAGCCCTTCCCGTATGCTCCTCTGCTTCTGCAAGGTGAGCAGGCCGGAGCAGGGGCGCCAGGGCATTCCAGGTCTCCAGCCTGCAGCTCGGCCCCAAGGGTCAGGGGCACCCGGGCCGGCCCTGCTTCCTGTGGAAAGAAAGTAAAGACTGATTTAGCCACTGAGTCATGGGAGAACAACAGGCTCCCAGGCCGCAATGGGCTCTGCCTCAGTTTACCTACCTGTAAAAATAGGTTTAATAACATGTCTGCCTTCGGTGCCGACTTCAGAGGGGTGCTGTGGAGGTTAATTACTGCCTGGCAGCTCCGGAGCCTTGATGAAAGGTGGAGGGAAGTGGGCGCTGTGAACGCGGGCAGGTAATTACCCCCAGCCTGGGGGGGAGCACACAGGGGTCCCGGCCTGAGTCACCTCTGGTTCTGATTCAACCCCAGGTCAGCTCCTTTCCAGGTAGCTAGAGCCCCAGTGTGCCAAGATATCTGGCTTTGGCCACCATCCTGGCCCCAAGGTCCCCAGCAGGCAGGGCTGGGCCTGTGAGTGGTCGCAAGCCACAAAGCCTGGGTTCGAATCCCAGCTCCGCCATGGCCAAATCCAGGAGACCTGGACAACGCTGCTTGTTCCCGGGCCCTTTCTTCCTCCACGCAATGGGCGTGTCAGTCCGTGTGCTGCTGTAACAGAACGCCACGGACTGGGTGGCTGATGAAGACACAGATTTATTTCTCACGGTCCTGGAGGCTGAGAAGTGCAAGGTCGAGAGGCCCACCGAGGCAGGGCCGTCTGGCTGTGTCATAACGTGGCCAAAGCACCACAAGGCAAGAGAGCCAGGAACGGCCACACGCGCTGTCGTAACAACCCCCTCTCCAGGACGAGCCCAGCCCCGAGATGGGGCAGGACTGTCCGGAGGGCACGGCCCTCCTGCCCCATCCCCTCTCGAGCCCCCTCCTCCGGGCACTGGATTCGTCTTCAGCACGTGGGGGACACGGCCAAACCCCCGAGACGGGCAAGAACCTGGCCCCTCCCACAGGGCACCGAGTCACTCCCCAGCGTAGGCATGGACACCGGGCCACCTGGCTCCTCGTCCCCTGCCACCTCAGCATGAGGCCAAAGGCACAGGTCAGGCCACAGCCACCCACACCATCGCGCCTTGGCCTCCATGTCCTAGACGGAAATGATGAAGGACTCTTCTAGAAATAAATGATTTTTTAAACACCTTTGAGGATAGTGATTAGGCCTCTTATCCCCCCCAGGTTGGGCCCCAGAATCAGGCTCCAACTGCCCCCGTCCCTGGAAGCCACCCCTTTCCTCTGCCCCTCTCCCGTGCTCCTGGGTCTTTATCCCAGCCCAGCCTCCCTCCCCCTACACACACATATGCACACACACGCACATGCACACGTGCACATACACATATGTGCACACGCATACACATACATGTGCATACACATACATGTGAACCACACATAGACACATATGCACACGTACACATACACATAAACAGACATGCACACGGATACACATGCACACATACACATGTGCACATAAACAGATGTGCACACATGGACACACATGTGTGCACACACATATACACATAAACACATACACAGAGACATAGACATGCATGCATACACATATACACATGTGTGTACACACATATACAAACATGTGTGCACATACACAGCACACGTGTGCATACACATGTATACAAGCATACATATGCATACATATACATACACACATGCCTGAGCTCTTAGTCCAGCTGTGAACACAGCCTGGTCCCGGTGGCCCCTGGATGTTTGCTCTCTTCCAGGGTTGAGGGACAGACACCAATGCTGGAGCTACCCTTCTTCCTTCTAACCCCTCCACAAGGCGGCACCGTGCCCATCTCCCAGACGGGGACACTGAGGCTCAGCAAGGCACCCAGGTCTGCAGGGCCCCGACCCTTGGCTTCTGAGCCCTCTGGGCATCCCCCACGGGATGGGGGAGCAGGGGCGAAGGGGAGGGCAGCAGGGGGCCCAGCTGCAGCCTCTGCAGGGACGGGACAGCCTGGCCCTCTGCGAGGTCCTGGGAATGAAGTGTCCCACGAGGATGGGCAGCTCCAGGCCGGCCCCCGGTGGGAAGAGGCCAGGCCCCTTGCCAGGTGGCTGCCCCACAGGTGCAGGTCAGGCAGCAGGTGGCCACTTGGGGAAGAGCCTGGTGTCCCGAGAGCCGCTCCAGGGCGGGCGCCCTGCCGTGCTCATCTCCCGCCTCCGCCCCCGCCACACTGTCCCCTGGGCTGAGCGCCGTCCCCACACTGCACACGCCGCCGCTTTCCTCCCCGCTCCACTCTATGCAAACGTCCCCTCCTCGTAGGGCCCCAAGCCCTCCCGCCACACCCTGCCCTGTCCTGGCCCCACAGCCCGGGCCACTCGCCGGGACCGGTTCGGATTTCCGGTTCCCTGGCCTAGCGGCCAGCTCCGCGGGAGCAGAGGCTTGTCCGTGTCCTCTGTCTGGCCCCCGCTGCCTCTCCAGGACCTGGCAGAGCCGCTGGGGCACAGCGCTGCTCTAGAAATGCCTGTAGATGTGATAAAGGAGCTTTAAAAGACGAGAATAATTTGTGTCCCGGGGGAGGGGGAGGTGCTCTGGGGACACGTCACCCCGAGGCCTGGACGAGTTCCCCAGGGTCTCCAACCGTGTCACGGGGCTGGACTTCACAACAACAACAATATTTACTGGCACTTCCTGCGCCGCACCGTGACAGACCATCTCGCCCGGTGCTCACCGCCAGCCAGTGAGGTCAGCCCTGCGATTAGCCCCGTTCAGATAAGGGAACTGCAGCATAGAGTTACAGCCAGGGGCTGCTCCAGGTCACCAGAGATTTGGCGGCAGGTCGTGATGGGGTGCAAGGACACCTCGACCCCCTTGGCCTGTCCCCAGCCCTTCCAGAGCTTCCAGGTGCCCTAGAAACCATTGCACCACTGCCCCTCCCCCGCCCCACCCACCTCCTGGCACAGCCCAGAGAGGTTGTCTGTCCGGCCCAACACCCTCCAGCAGGTCGGCAGAGGGACGGTCCGGGCTGGCTGCCGCGGGGGCCCCTGGGAGGGAGGGCAGGCTTGGCGGCAGTCCCGTGTGCGGGGACGCTGAGCAGCCGGGAGTTTCTCTCCCCGGACTTACTGTACATGATTAAGCGCCAGCCCCAGTTGTGAAATCTGGGAATCTTGTGGGCAAGGCCGAGCCCGGGGGATGGCCGTCTGGGAAAGGGAGGCCGGGAAGGGGTTAAGGGGGGTGCCGGGAGGGGGCGGCCAGAGGCGCCAGCACGGAGCACACTATTAGCACAGGGCTGGCCGTGGCCTGTGGCCTGTCTCTGACATCACGGCTGCGTCAGCCCAGCCTGCCCCAGCCCCCACTTCCTTCTCTCCCCCCGAGACATCCTCGGCCTCACTGTCCTGTCCTAGGAAGGGCAGCACCCAGCCTTCCCTCCTAAAAGGGACCAGGGAGCTGGAGATGACAGGGAGGAGGAGCTGGCAAACATTACTTTGCATACATAAAGCACTTAATAAATGATAGCTGTGGTGGGCTGGAGCCAAACCATAATCCTGTGGCAGGTAGGAAGCTCTCACACTCGTGTTAGAGAAGAGACTGAGGGTCCGGGAAGGGAAGGGGGTTGCCCAAGTTCACCCCGCTGCACAGTCATTACTTGAAACGTAAGTAACAGCCGTGTGGCTCTTCCTTGACTCTGCGTTAGCAGGACATGTGTCTCTCGTTGCCCTGTTGGGTTGCAACGAATGTCCCGAGGCCTGGAATTTTCTTCCTCGTCTCATTAATTTGTTAAGTCAGACTAAACCAAATGGGAATTTGTTTGACTAGAGGGATAAGAGAGCATTTAATAGGGACTATTCATAGATCAGCGTTGAATTAAACAAATTCTGCATTGGGAATCTTTAAAAACAAAATCACGGTGTACATTCTCTGCTCCAGCCTCGTCTACACATGTCAGACTCACTCAACCCTCACAGCAACTCTGCAAGGGCGACAATAGTATCACCCCATCTCATAGATGAGGAAACTGAGGCACAAGGAGGCAAGTGACACCTGAGGCCACACAGCAGGTAAATGACAGTAATAACCGTAATAGTAGCTGGTGTTGATAAGCCGCGGCCCTATGCACTGAGAATAGTATTTACGGGATCTCCTGGCTTCTCTTAATGCCCCAGGAGAAGAGCACAATTATTTTCCCATTTCACAGATGAGAAACTGAGGCCCAGATATGTCACTTGACCAGGTCACACAGCTGGAAGCAGTAGCATTGAGATTTGAACCCAGGCAGCTGTCCTGCCCTGGGGACGCCGAGCAGGCCCGCGTCCCTGCCCAGGCAGAGAGCCAGGGTAGGCACGCCGTAGGTGCTCAGGTCACTCTGGGGTGACCGAGCTGCAGATGCCCAGGGATGGCGAGGGCGCCCCTCCCCTAGGCTGCCCTGTGCTGGCCTGGCACGGCTGATAAAGATGTACAGTCACATCTTCCCCAGGATGCTGTCACTCCCACAGTTGTGACACACCCAAGTGCCAAGAACCACTTGGGAAAGTCCATTATCCTCCCCATTTTGTGGACCAGAAAAGCCAAAGCCCAGAGAAGGCGTGTGACTTGCCTAAAGTCACACAGCAGAGTTGTACGCGCTACAGCCCCACTCCCCCCTCGGCGCCTGCCCTCAGCTGCAGAGGCCCCGAGGACGAGGACCAACTCTAGCAGGAGGGACAGAGGTGAGGCCCGGCCCCCGAGGCCTACCTCACCTGGGGGGCAGCCTTTCCTCTCTCCCAACTCTGCGAGCCGGAGGTGCGCAGGAGCTGTGTCACAAGGAGGGACAAGAAGGGCACTCCTGGCAGGAGGAGCAGCACGTGGAGCAATAGAGGAAGAAGATCCAGTTAGGCTGGGGCAGAGAGAGTGAGGAGCCGGGTGGGGGGCTGGCGGGGGGGCAGGTAAGGGCGCCCCTGAATGTTGTGCTAAGAAGTTAGGGCTTTGCCCAGAGGCGAGTGGGAGCCATGAAGGCTTCAGAGCAAGGGAGGAGTACGGCCACTGAACAAAGGGCTGACTACTGCAGTCACCTCCCCTCCAGCCTCCCTGCTTCTGGCCCCAGGAGTCCAGTCCCCACCCACAGCCAGAGGGACCCGTGAAACTCAAGTCAGACCAGTCCCTCCTCTGCTCAGAGCACTCCATGGCTCCCTCCTGCAGAGAAAAAGCCAAAGTCCTTTCAACAGCCCACGTGATCCCACATGATCTGCCCATCCCCTCCTGGCCCTCCCCTCCCGCCACCCTCCCCGGCCGGTTCCCACTGCCTGGAGCCCCTCCCCTCCCCGTGGTGCCCTCCCTCAGCCCCTGCAGGTCCCGCTCCCCGGTCACCTGCCGGGCCGGGCTGTCCCTGGCCTGCCCATTCCCACCCCGTCTCCTTTCCCACCCTGCCCTCTCTGCAGCGCTGAGCTCCGGCCGTGGCGTGCAGCTCGAGCATCTTGTTTATCGCCTGCTCACCCCCGAGTGTCAGCTCCATGGGGCCGAGACCTTGGCCCGCGCGTGTCCTGCGTGTCCCTAGCGCCTGGCCCCAGGAAGTGCTTGGTAAATGTTTGTTCAGTGAATGGATTCTTTTTCCCCTCAGTACAGTTTGGGGAGGCTTCGCCGGGGCAGGCCGTACCATGACCCTCCCTCCAGGATCCAGATGGAGACGTGACTTGTCCGAGCTCACCGAGCTCGTAGGTGGCAACCCCATCTGCCCCACAGTCTGTGATGTTTGTCTCCACCCCAGGTTTAGGCCCCACACCAGCCACCCGACCACTGAACCTGCCCGTGAGGCGGCCAGCTGGGGTCTCCCTTTGGTTCCATCTTAAGCTAGAGGCTCAGAGAGGTGCGGTGACTTGCCCAAGGTCGCACAGCAACTTAGGGTTGTGAATTCAGGTTTCTCTGCCTCTGTATTCTGGGTACTTTCTGTTACAGCAGCTCTGGCTTCTGTTCCTCTTTCCAGCCAATGTGTTTGCCGCTGGAACACCAGGCCTGCTACGCGCAGCCTTGACCCAGACCACGTCCCGGGCCTGCCCGGCCCCGCCCACTGCCCTGGCTGCGCGGCCAGCACAGCGCCTGGTCCCACATGCCTCAGGGATGAGCTGCAGGGAGTGTGACCGGGCCCAGCTGACACATCTCGGAGCAGATGTGGCCGGCCTCCCATGGGCCGGCCGGGCCCAGTCCAGACTCAGCCAGCGCAGTCCCCCAGGACGCGGTGCTGGGCCTCGCCTGGGAGAAGCAAACCGAGACCCCAAGGAGCTCAGAGATTAGGGGCCGGGAACCAGGGCCGGAGCCCGGGGGGCCGTGGAGGAAGACACCGGCCCTGGGGTTGAAAGCTCGGCGCCACCAGGGCCAGGCAGGACTTAGAGGCAGTGGCGCGGGCTGGGCAAGAT